ATATATATATATATATAACCTTTTTGGGGGCAATTAGCAAAAGATCAACAGAAACTTGCTATTTACAAAACATCCACTCTTTTCCATCTATTTTTCAAGTTCTCACTCAAATATCAAAATTATGTTAAAACCCCAATCCACATTTTTCATTTTAAGCAAATTCTCGAAAGATTGATCATGACACGCATAAATACATCAGTCCGATATTGCCAAAAAAAAGATCATCTCAATGACTAATTTGTAAATATCAATATTTTAGATGGCCTCCATGTAATTTTCCCTTTTTAAAATATCATTATAGGTTAAACATTGTTTTTTATGTCTATAAATTGTTTAAATAATAAAAAAATAAAATAAAATATAGCCAATGGAGAGGTAGGCTGTCACATCTGAAAGAGAACGCGCTTTTTGTTTTTTAACGCTTTATCATAAATCTATTAATTTTTAAATTATAATTCATAAATATATAAATTAAACTTAAAATAATATATTTACTTTATTTGAAAATGAATTTATTAACCAATAACATTAAATATTTATAGTTTTACTTTGCGAATTATAGTTTTATTTTGCAAATTGCTTTTTTTCTGTTTTTAGAAAATTCTAAGAAATTTTTTTTTTTTTTGCGAACATGAGCTGTCAAGTGTAGTGGCTGCAAGAAAGTTACTTTTTGAAAATAAAATAAATTTGTAATGGTCAACGCAGTTTTTCGAAATGTTGTTTCTTCTGCAAGTTTCACAATTGCTTCTTCAAATATCTATTGCTGCCCTAAACAGACCCGTGCATGCACACCAGATAATTATTATGTATTTAAATTTCTAGCACTTAAATATTCATAATCACATATCCACCGAAATCAAATATAAAATATTATCATCAATTATCTTCTTAAACGTAAAATATATATTTTTCATGACACTTGTAATAAGTTTAAATATCAACTTTTGAGTGTTAGGTATATGAATATATATAGCTTGTTTGTCATGAAAGCAAAATTGACTTTTTTAATGCATGCCCCACAATTCTTAAGTATTTACATATCTAAACATCTACACTTTTATACTTACATTTATAGCACTAGAAAAATACATCACAATACTACTATTATTAGGTTTTTAACAATGAATACAAATTATCTTGCATACTTATATAACACTTATAAATGTAAATTTTTATTTTTAAATAAATTTATTGTCTTTAAAATATTTTCAATCAAATTTTATGCAAAGTATTATGATAAAATTATTTTTCTTAATATAACTACTCTATAAATTGTCCGACTTTAAGAAAAAAACTTACGGTGTTAGCGAGCCGAACACGAGCAAAGCCTTTTTGCTCGTTAAATGATATTATTGTTCATGTTCAGTTTGTTTATATTTCGAATACAAAAAATTTGTTAGTGTTACGCAGCCGTAGGATGTTAAGAGTTGGGACATGATTTAACTCTTATTATTTATATCAAATATCATTTAAATATAGCTTAATATATATATTCTTTTGATTAATAATTTTAATTGATTATAAATCTTTGTAGTTGTGTAGTCAATTAAATTATTTTAAAACATCACTTATCAATTACATACAAATACATAAGTTATGGGAGATTAACATATGTGCCCCACAATTCCTATATATTTTCATATATAACACCTAAATTTTAATATTCATTTATATAAGGCTCAAATTCTTAACATCACATGAAATTATTATTAATATTAATTTTCTTAAAGTTAAATAGATCTTTTCATGCATATATTTCATATATTTTTATATGATTTTATGTAATGTGATATTTATATTTTTACAAGTAATGTGATATTTATGTAAACTTCTAAATTATACTATTACATATCTACCCCTAATTTTTTCCTTTTTATTTTTATAGCACTCAAATTTCTCATCTGAAATTAAAAATATCACTTTTATTAATTTTTAAAATATAAAATTACATTTTTATGCCTAAATAAATAAAATGATATTAATATAAAGTTTCTTAAAAAAAATTAATTAATTAAAAAACCTAATGATTTACATAATCATCGTCATCTAAACGTCATCTTCTTCTCCTCTGAACAATAGTTTCCCTTCCGTTAAAAAACTTTCATTTTAATGGCTTTTTTCCTACTTATGAGCAGATATACCCATTAATCCCCCCATCCCTGTTCTTCTCTCACTCTCTCTCTCTACAACCCCTTTTCTTGAACTGTAAAAAGCTTCCAAATTGTCACCACCGCAAAGAATTAAGAAGATGATATAAAGAAAATTTTGTATTTGATTTGGAAAAGCGATCTGCTTTCTTTGAAAAATCCATTATTTTGCTTCATATTCCTCTTTCTTCGCTGAAATTCTAGGGTTTTCCTTTCTTTCTGCGTTGAGAGGCGATGGCTGCGGTGGCGGAGAGCGCGATCGGCTCTGAAAACCAGTTGATGCACTGCAACCCGGCGACTTCTGAATCGGAATCGGAGTATCAGAATGATGTGAGGAAGCTGGTCGACCTTCTCTCTAAATTGAATCCATCTGCGAAGGAGTTCGTTCCTTCTTGGAGAAAATCGGATGGCCGATTATCTGCAGACGCGCCGCTCTTCGTCGGTTCGCCGGAGTATTATAACAGTAGAAATGAGTCCAATTATGGGAGTTGTAGTAAGGATTGGAGCAGTGATGGATCGTCCAACAATCAGCCGATGAATCGAAGGGTAGGGTTTAATTTTGATTAATTTTTTTTTAGGGCAAAGAATCTGATTTATGATGCCGTTTGATCCGTGTTTTCTCTGTTCAAATTAGTTTCTTTTGTTCTTTTCTGCTAAGAATTTTACTTAACAGCATCTGATTTGGGTATTGCAGCGTTTTGGGCAGAGGAGGAATGGTTATAATCAGGGGAGGAGGAGGATAAGCGATAGGGTTAGAAGAGCTGAAAGAGAGGAAAGCATAAAGAGAACTGTTTATGTTTCTGATATTGATCAAAATGTGAGAAATCAACGAATGTTCTTCTTCTTCTTTTCATTTTTGGTTTTTTTGCCTTCAAATTTCTTATCTTTGTTGTGAACAGATTACAGAAGAACAGCTTGCTGAATTGTTTTCCTACTGTGGTCAAGTAAGCGCTCGAACTTCAAATGTTTATACAGCTTCTGCAAGATCAAAATTATGTTTTTGTTTAGTTAAGGATCTTTGAGGAGTTTGGTTGTTATGGGCTTTGTGATTTAATTGAGAAATGCTTTTAGGTTTAGCAGGATTTGTTTTGTGAAGCAAAGCATAAGGAACCTATGTTGTCCTAAAGGCATGTTTTCATGTCGATCGCTTGGTTTCACCCATTCTTGTTTGTGTATACTAACTACCCGGCATTACTTGTTCTTGTAAGGTTCATGTTGCTATCATGTGTTAAAAATTTTTCAAGGCATTTACATACAACACAATTCTTTTGTATATAGATATCTTACAAATAAATTTTACTTTTTTACATTTATTCCACTGAAATTTTTTGTATCACATAAAAAATACCACAATTATAACGTTAAAAAAGTGAATACACCTTTTTCATGCATAGGTAAGGTAGTACATATATGTAAAAATTGAAGATTAGGTGTTAGATATGTAAATGCATATGAATTGATTGGTATGCATGTAAATCTTCCTTTTTCATTTTGCCTACCATTACTTAATGGCCACATGTTTGGATCACAAAGATACATCTAACATGGAGAAGTAATACCACATACATCAACCTTTGCTTTGGACCCCCATTGATGTTAACCATGTAAACTTTATATATATCTATAAAAAGCAACAACTATAAATTTAATTTGTGGTATTTTATTAGAAAGGCATTTGGTTCTGTCTTAAATCTTAATAATTATGATCTCAAAAATACAAACTTGTTGCTTGAATAGTTTGTTTGTGAAACAAAAGTTGATAGTCATATTCTTGTAGTATGAGTGCTTTTGTTCTTGAGAATTGTGTGGGAAGTTAAGTTGTCTTAATTTTTCCTTTAAAGTTTCCTTCACTTAATGCTTCCATTGTTAACTCTCGAAGGTTTTCAATGTACATTGCTTATCGCTTCATTTACATTTTTCCTAAGATTTCGTAATTTGCGTGGTTCCTGTGCGAGTTTTTGTCGATTCTTAGAGATATAGATGCGCTGATTAACCTAAGATTTTGGAAATCAACTGTTATAATAACTTCAGTTCTTATAATTTTTCTAAATCACAAATCAAACTGCTTACATAATTTTTTACGTAGTTAAAGTGGTGATTCTTAGATTTATAGATCAGAACCTAGGAAAATACACTAAAATGCTTAAATGGTTATAGGAGGTGGGTGATTTTGTAATAACCTATCTCTGATTTTGACAATTTTTTCTTTAATGCATGGTTTTAGTTACCACAAATTTTGTGTTAGTTTACATATTATAGTTGTGACTTGATTAATGGTGATTTTTGTAATTAAGTAAACCAAGTTTAGGCTGTTTTTGTGGGCAAACTAAGTATATTATGCTATTTAAGTGTTGTTCTTATGCAAATTTTGGGTTATCTTCGAAAAATATAATCATCATCAATCTAGTCTCATCCTTTTGAGGTTGGCTACATTGAAAATTTATCATTCAAGTTTTGCTTTGATGTAAACTCTAGGTTTGTTTGGAGATTTTGCAGGTATTTGTAAAAGTAATTATAGAACTATTAAAGGGAAATAAACTTTTATTAAAGTTTCTTTGGGCATTATATTTTTTTTGTTCTTTTGATAAAATTAGACAAATTTTTACGGCTACCATTTTTAGTTTGCATTAACTTTAGGAATTTAAGTAAGGCTTGTTTGAAGAATAAATTTTCTTTGTCTATTTCCAGAGTCGATGGTTGATATAGCATTTCCTTTTTTTTTTTTTTAATGGATGACTTATTTGGATTTAATCAAATCAAGAAGGTCCGTGAGGATGAAAATTTTATTATTTTTAAAACCTAGATTTTTGTTTATTGTTATAAAGTCGTGTATTTTGGATTGAAGAATGATGACACCTTGTGTCAATGTGCCATAGATAAATTTTGACGATTTTTTTTGCACAAGGAATTAAGTTTTTTTTTTTTTTTTTTGCTCATTATATGGATTGCAAGAGGATATCATCAAGATTTAACCTATTTATTATAAATTTATGAGTACTTTAGTTGTGTTTTTATGCCATGTTGAGTAATACCATCAAAATTAATTCTATGGCATACATAAGAATGCTAAGATTAATTTATGGTAATACCAGAAATGATCCAACAAGAAATACTTCTATTATAGAAATGGTGGGAGTAGCACCCTACAAAGATACTTATTGAAAATTATAATGTTCATTTCAATCAAAACAAAGCCTAAATGAGATCCAATTTTATTATCCACCTAACTATTTTGAAATTCTCATGCTGAAGGTAGTTGACTGCCGGGTTTGCGGCGATCCCCACTCGATTCTCCGATTTGCATTTGTCGAGTTCGCCGATGAGGGTGAGTTCTAAACCACTTGCAACTTGTTTGATCGGTCGTGTTGATCCGTGCTATCAGTCGTCTTCTAACAATGATTCTTTTTTTTGTTTTGCTTATAGAGGGTGCTGTGGTAGCCCTTAATATTGGGGGACTTCTGCTTGGTTACTATCCTCTTAAAGTCTTACCTTCAAAGACTGCTATTTTGCCTGTGAATCCTAAGTTTCTACCAAAGGTTCTTACTGTTTAAATACATACCGCCCAATTCTTATGTATTTACATATCTAAGATTTAAAACTTCACCCTTTACATTTGTAGTTTTATGCCACTCAAAAAGTGAATTACAATTCTTCATGAATAGGTAAGGTGAAATATATGTAAAAAAAATCAAAGTTTGGGTGTTGGATATATAAATACATAAGAAATGAGTGTCATGCATCTAAATCTTACCAGAAATAAACTTGTCTCTGCTGTTTACATTAATTTCTTAAAGGATTGTTTTCTAATTTCTGAAAATTTTTGCAGTCCAATGATGAAAGAGAAATGGTTGTGAGAACAGTCTACTGTACAAATATTGACAAGAAGGTAAATATATAGCTTTTCTTCAAAGATAATCCATTTATGTAATGGTTTTGAATGAGTATTTAATGAATGTTATTACATATTGAGAACAATTGGATAAATTACACTGTTAGTGATGAACCACCCTAATTTGTTATTTACATAAATCTTCTTTTGCAGGTTACACAATCTGAAGTAAAACAGTTCTTTGAACAAGTTTGCGGCGAGGTTTGGATGCTTCTCACCAATTAGAATGTTTTTAAGGGGGAAAAGTGTCAAAATAGTCCCCTAACTCTTTGCAAAACGTTATTATACAAATTTCAATTTAGTCCCCAGACTCTTTTAATATGGACCCTAATTTAAAGAGTATGAGGACTAATTTTACAGTTTTACAGACTTTGTGATTAAAATGACAGGGGACTATTTTGGTACTTGTTTTTAATGGATTTAATAATTGACTCAAGCTTGTTTTTATTATAGGTTTCCCGTCTGCGTCTTCTCGGCGATAACGTACACTCCACTAGGATAGCATTTGTTGAGTTTGTTCAGGTGATTTTTCTACATTTAATTTGTTAGACTAATAAGTAGTTGTAATATCATATTATTAAAACTGTAAGCCCGATTCGTGAGCCGACTCGGGCTCGGCCTGATAAGTGGCTAGTGATCTAAGCTCGATGAGCTAAGAAGCCAAGCTCAAGCCAACCCTAGCTCGACTCGGTAGCTCGTAAGCTGGCTTCATAATTAATAAAACTGAAGCTCAAGCTGAGGGTAACTCGAGCTCAACTTAACTTGTTTACACCCCCTACATCTTAATAATCTCTCAAGTGAGAATACTTCGTATTAGTTATCGCTCAATTTGATATCAAAATTCATTAGATCATGCACCATGTGGATTCATTATGGGAGTCACATGCTATTGAATTTTGGCCAATCATAATAGTAAGGAGCATTTTCAAAGTACTCTCCAATTCTTATGTATTTATATATCTAACAACTAAATTTTACTTTTTAACATTTATACCGCCTAAAATTTTCGTATCACATTTAAAACACCATCCTTTTAACTTTTAATAAGTGAAATACAACTTTTCATGTATGTGTAAGATGGCATGTGTGTGAAAATTGATGTTTAGGTGTTTGATATGTAAATATATACGAATTGAGTGGTATTTATATAAATACTCATTTATGTATTTACGTAGATATATATATA